ATAATAATGATAGTGATGATAATAATAATAATAATAATAAAAATAATAATAATAATAATAGTGATGATAATAATAATAATAATAATGATAGTGATGATAATAATAATACTAATAATAATAATAATAATAATAACAATAATATTATTAATAATAATAATAATAATAATAACAACAACATCAACAACATGCATGCATGTATACTACTACTTAATAAACTTAATATACTTAATAAACGTATATTAAATATATATTTAAAAAAGTAAGACTCGCATTGCATTTGTAGTAGTCAAACCCATGTCTTCAACATTATATACACCATGCTTTATGTTTCCAGCTCCAGTAGGCCGTTGCATTATATAAAAGAATAAACATTCCAGACAGCCGAATCACAGGAAACTCCTGGATGCATTACCGTAATGAGATGTTTTTGTAGCCTTACATTAACGAGAATTTGGAGAATGTCAAAAAGCTGTGCTTAAAGCTACATTATACAGTATTGTGTACTCATTAAAAACATTTGCGCATATTTCCTTTGCAAAATATGTACGTTAGAAAGCTGCAGTGGGTCAAAACGCTAAGCAGCCGGATACTTTCCACTTTGTCTCAGTAACCGGCCTGTTATTTAACACTTGCACTGGAGGAATAAATTAATTCTTGCCGTCTGCTAATGCCGGTGTCACACTCGCTGATTTTCCAGCTGATTTTCTGCTGAGAAGTCTATTTACATGCTGGAGAGTCTGAGATATGAGCACGTCTGCATCTGTCAGCCTCTACTGAGCTGCTTTAGTGATGCCGAATTCAGGAAATATGGTTAAGGGCAAAATTATTCACCCTCCAGTGCAACATTTATTCTTTTAAGTATTTCTCATATTATATTTACAAGAGGTGGTTGGCACTGCTGCCTCACAGCACGCTGGTTTGAGTCCTGGGTGGGTCAGTTGGCGTGGGTTTCCCCCACAGTCCAAACACATGTGCTTTAGAGGAATTGAGTAAACTAAATTGGCCGTGATGTATGTGTGTGTGAGTCTATGGGTGCTTCCCAGTGCTGGGTTGTGGCTGGTAGGGCATCCGCTGCGCAAAACATATGCTGGAATAGTTGATGATTCATTCCACTGTGGTGATCCCTGAAAAATAAGTGACTAAGCCAAACGAAAATAAATGAATGGATGAATATTTACTGAATTAAAATCATTTTATTTCACTATTTTGTCTTCTGGAGAAAGTCAGATTAGTTTCATAAATAAATAAATAAATAAATAAATAAACAAATAAATAAATAAATAAATAAATAAATAAATAAATAAATAAATAAATAAATAAATAAATAAATAAATAAATAAATAAATATTATAAAAAAAGTAATGTCAGTTGTTCTGTTGTCCTATTTATTCACAGCTCTTCTGTGTAGATAAAATTGTGGATGTGTATATTGTGTACGATAAGTAAAATATTTAACATAGTTCAGGCTCAAATGGGAATAAATGTAACTCGTCATTGAAATAAATGCAGCATTAAAATTAATACTTAATAGTTAAGTACTTAAAACTAATGCATAATATTAAAAGAAAACAGTAAATTTGCATTATTATTATTATTATTATTAATTAATTAATTTATTTTTATGTTATATATTTATTCAATAGTAGCTGTAACAACAACAACAACAACAACAAAATAATAATAATAATAATAATAATAATAATAATGATAATAATAATAATAATAAAATTAATAATAATAATATTATTAATAATAATAATAATAATAATAATAATAATAATAATAATAATAATAATAATA